TCCTCCCGGCCCGCCAACCAGGGCCAGGTGGTTACTCTGCTGGGGCTCTCATGGCCAGAGCACTCGGGGACGAGGACAGGGGTGCTTAAGTGCCGCAGCGTGGGGCCTGGGGAGCGCCGCGGGCAGCAGTCTCCCCAGGAAGGTCAAGATCGCGCGCTCTAATGGCCCGGGGAGGTTGCTAGGAGTTCACCTGGGCCCGTCACCACAGAGCGGTGCATTTCCTGCTGCTTCCGTGGCCAGCCTGGAACGCTTCCTGCACCTTCAGGCCTTGGCGAGGAACCGGGGGCCACTGCTGCGCGTTTGTTCAGCGATTTCTGTGATAGGCGTCGCTAAGCACGTTGGTTTAGGGACGGAGGGGCAGGCAGCACGGCTCGCTCGCCAGCATCCATTTGCCCGGTGGCCCAGAGCCCTTAACGGACTTGTCTCCCCGCGCTGCAGGCCCCGGGGTCTGGGGTCACCGCCGCCGTCCGTGGTGTTCAGGCCAGACCGTCTGGATGAGGCCCCGCCCCCGGCCCGCTCACTACATCCACAGGCTGTGACAGATGCCCGTTCCAGCTCTCCCGCTGCCTGGCAGAGCAGGGCCCCGGGGGGGGGGGGGTCGAGTTGGGATCTGCACGGACTGAACAGCAGTGTCCGCATCCTGCAAGCGTCCGAGCGCTCGGCCCGGCATGATTAGTGACTTACAAGCTGCCCTCTGAGAAACACGGTTCTCGCCTGTGCTGCTCATGCTTGCCTCAGGAACCTCGGGAGGGACAGCGGAAACCAGTTAGAAGGGGTTTCCAGTTCAGAGGGAAGGTGGGAATACAGGGGCAGATGCCGACGGTGGGGGGGTTAAAACGTACCTAATACCGGGGCGCCTGCCCGGCTCAGTGGGCGGAGCGCATGACTCTTGATCTCGGGGCTGTGAGTTCGAGCCCCACGGTGGGTGTAGAGATTACTTAAAAATAAAATCAGAAGAAAAAAAGGGATTTAATATCTTTTAATTGATGTAGCCATGAGAGGGTCTTACCTATTGAAAATAACGATAGTAACAGTCTAACCAGAGGAAGACAAGCACCCCTCCTCTGGAGAACCGGCCGGGCTCTGGGGACGTGGAAGTCCTGGTGTCGTGGGCACACCTGGGGCCGGCTGGGGCGGCCGTCTCCAGGGCCAGCCTGTTCGGCAGCGAGAGTCATTTTAAAGGCCGGCCGGAGCCTCTACATCGGCCTTAGGGCTGCTCCCATGGGTGGGCGCTGTTGGCAGGACTGCCCGCAGGGCCTATGGCCCCCTCTGCGACACAGTAGACCTCCCTCCTCGAGGGTGCACATCGTTCGGGAAACAGCCGGCCCGGAGCTGAGGCTGATGGCGCGCGCGGCTGAAGGTGCCGGCCGGGGGCCTCCTTCCCAGAGCAGGGGTTTCTTGCGCTCCAGGCAGCCCTGGGGTGACCCCGAGGAAAGGTCACTGAGCTCCTGCCTCGGGAGCAGGTGTTGACCTCTGGCGGGGTCGTGCACAGGGGGGAGTAGCCTCTGGGGGAGCTGCGGGCTCCAGCAGCCTCTCCAATGGGTGGGTAGGAAGAATCATGTCTGCCATTGGCTGGGTGGGACGCTGGGGTGACTGTTCGCGTGCTCATCGGAACTGCCCTGCCGGCTGGGTGGAAGCATCCCCATCTCTGGGGGGGGGTAAGTCACCCACCAAGAGGCAGAGCCAGGCTCAGGCCCAGGTTGGGCCTCCTCCAAACCATGTCCCCTCACGCTGTGCTGGGTCTTGTTTTGCAGGTGACCATGCCTGGGGAGCCCGTGGATGTGGCGTGTGGTGTGGATCACATGGTGACTCTGGCCAAGTCTTTCGTCTGAAGCCCCTCCCTGACCCGCTGGAGCCCGGAACCCGGCCTCAGAACCACTGGGACTGCTTGGCAGAGGCCCCCGGCGGGGCTCTTGCTGGGGGTCAGAGAGGATCCGGGCCCTTGGTGACGCGTGATGCTCTCTGTCAGTGCCCTTAGCAAGAACGGACGGGAAGTCCCGGGACTCAGGGCCCCTCTCCGGCTGAGGGTGAGACCTGCTGCATTCACCACGGGATGGCTGTCCTCATCAGGCCAAGCACCAGTGAGAGGGATCCCTATTACTGACCCGAGCAGCTGGTCTGGGGGAAGCTTAGCTCTCCGGCATGCCATTTTGTTTGTTCTTAAAGGTGGCCCGACGGACTCTAGTGGCCGGGTGGGCTTCTGTAAGCCTCCGACCACAGCAGAGCTCATGGTGGGCCTGTGGGCATCAGGGCGAGCCCCAGCCTGACTGAGGGAGCCAGGCTGAGAAGCCCCTGCAGGAGTTAGAGCGAGGCCAGGTTCTTGTGCACCGAACACCCCCCGCAAAAGCTTGGCTGGAGGGCCAGCCTCGGAGAAGAGATTGAGAAATTGTGGAAAACAATTTGAGGTAGTACCATAAACTTGGCCTTCCGTTTAAAAACGTCTTTGAAAAATCTCTTTTAGAATAAAGTCTATTTTCTGCCTTTTTATTTTTGAGCGCTGAAGAGGTCTTTTTTTTTTTTTTTTTATCTTACTTGATCATTTAGAGATTGGCTTGCAAAAACAAGGCTTTTGATAAAGAGGCAGCTAGAAGCCAGTGACAGATACTCAGAAGACAGTCCTGCTTGAAAACGGTTTGTCTTCACAGTCTCTCTCCTCCCACGGTTCAGTTGGGAGAAAATAACGAAGTCTAAAAATAAACTGGTAATCATGTCACCCATCGGGATCTCACTCCCTGGCTGCACCCCCTGTCTCTGCTTCATTCACTCAACAGATACTCTGTGCCCCCCCCCCGCCCCGTGCCAGCTACTGTGGATCACACTGGGTCACTCGGGGACAACACCCCCGTCAGCAGGTCCCACGAAGCTTACGTTCTAGGAGGCAAAACACAACCGACAAGCAAAACAGAGAGTATGGGAGATGGCTCGGTGGGCCGTGGAGACAAATAAAGCCGGGGAAGGGGGCTGGCCATGTGGGGGCTTTGCAGTTGGAAGTGGAACGGTCTGGGCGCCTGGCTGGCTCAGTCGGTGGAGCTCGGGGCTGTGGGTTTGAGTCCCACATTGGGTGTAGAGAGGACTTAAAAATAAAATCTTCAGGGGGTACCTGGGTGGCTCAGTTGGTTAAGCATCTGACTCTTGATCTCAGCTCAGGGCATGACCTCAGGGTTGTGGGATCGAGCCCTGAGTCGGGCTCCATGCTGGGTGGCATGGAGCCTGCTTGGGATTCTCTCCCTCTCCCTCTGCCCACCCCCCCCGTCCCGCGCATGCTTTCTTTCTAAATAAAAATCTTAAAATAAAAAAGTGAAACGGTCACTGAGTAGTCCTTGCTGTGAGCTGAGGCCACAGGAACCAGCCAGGTCGAAGTTGAAAATGATTTGTCATTTTCCTTCCCAAAACTCCTGGCTGGGCCGTGTTCCCTGTCACCCCAGCGATGAAGAACAGAAATCCATCCTTCGTGCAATAGGCATCTCAGAGCACCTACTGATTTACGGAGTGTGAGTGCCCCAGAAGGTCAAGGTCATGCCTCCTGGGTCCCACCAGCGGTGTTCAAAGCCAGGAAGTGATGGTGCTGGGGAGGGTCTCTGCTGAAGGTAGGAGTGATTTTTAAGCCTCCCACCCAAGATTCAGCTCCAATAACTACCGCCATCTTGGACACAGTAACCAGGGTACTTTTTAGTACTCGGTCTCCCTGGCTGGCTGGAATGCGTCTGCCCCACGCCAGACCCTCTCCACAGTTGTCTTCTGCCCTGTGTCTCCGCTTCTGTCCCCTCATCACTGTCCCTCCTGGCATCGGGCACCTGAGTCCCCATGGGATGTCCTGCCTCCAGTGCGTTGTCCGAAGGCCCGAGGGCGCTCAGCCTGCAGATCCCGGAGGGAAAAGCCTTCATAGCAGCAGAGCTTCCTGGGGCTCAGGGTGGTGGGAGAGTGCTCCAGCCCCATGCTCACCCCCTTCCGTCTCCAGGGGCAGGGGTGAGGTGGGGTGGGGCCAAGTGCAGACACGGGTCTTCAGCCCTGCCCTGCTCACACGTGCCTTCCGTAGAAAATACCACAGAGGTCCAGGGCCTCCTTCTTGCCGGGGCAGCCCCAATGCCCACCTGCCAAGAGGACAAGGAGCCAGACGCCAGAGGCTTGTGGAGGGACGCTGGGCAAGTGCCCTCGCTCCCGCCGCCAGGGGGTCCTGTCTGGAGGCACCAGCTCCTGGGCTTCCAGAACCAGGCAGCCCTTCCTGGGGGGGTGGGGGTGGGGTGATGTCCACAGCAGGGCTCCAGGTTTGGGGAAGGAGCTCTGTCCTGCTCCATGGGTCCCCCCGAACCCCAGGCCCACCTCTACCAGAGGTCTGGGGAGGAATGGTGGGTACAGTAGCCGGTCTCCGAGATGGCCCCTGAGACCTTGACCTTGAGTGGTCTCCTCCTGTGTCAAATCAGAGCTGGGCTGTATGGCCACAGCTTAGGGTGGTGGGCGGTGGTGTGTGGATTCTGAGGCCAAACCGTTTTGGCTTCTACCTTGGCCCTCGCATGCCTTGCTCTGGGGGAAGCCAGGCACCCTACGGCGAGGAAACAACCCCGCGGGGAGACCCATGCCGAGAGGAACAGGCTTCCTGCCAACAGCCAGGGTGAATAAACCGCCTTTGGAAGTAGATCCTCCGGTCTCGGCCAAGACTTCAGATGGTTGCAGCCTCACGAGGGGCTCTGAGCCAGAACTGCTCAAACTGCTCCCGAATTCCTAACCCACGTAAACGGCGACACACACGCAGTCATTTGTAAAGCTGTGAAGCTTGGGGGCAGCTTGTTACGCAGCACCAGATAACTATTACAGCCCCTCTCGCTCTGGGGCGGGCGTTTCTTCTCTCAGGCTCTGGGTGTTGGGCTGGAAGGCTTGCTCTCCTTCCTCCAAGCCCTCCCCAGCCTGAGCTCCCCCCACCCCGACCGCGGCTCAGGGAAAGGAAAGACCGCAGGTGTGGTCCCGGGGCGGCCCCTGATAAATCAGACACTGGTCAGCCGACATCCATTTTTGTTTCCGTTTTAATTAACACTTTACAAAGTACAAAATATACTGTCTTTTTGGGGGGAACATTAGGTACTTTTTTTCTCTCCGCCATACAGTACATGAATCTTGAGGGTTTTGTGTGTCTTCAACAAAGAGGGGAGAAGCGTGAGGGCCCTGGGGCATCAGGTGGCCCGTGCTCCCCCTTGCCCAGAGCTTGGGACAGATGTAAGTGCCATTGCTACTGCTGGTGACCTGTGGCGCGCCAGGTGAGGGCGAGACCCCCAAGGCGAGGCCCTGGGCAGGGCAGAGGCCCCTCAGAGCCCCATCATGCACCCAACATCCGCTCACCCCCATCTCAGGATAACGGAAATAATTTTGGCATGGAGCAAGAGGAGGACTTGGGATTTTGTGTGTTGTCCGCCCCCTCCCCCCACCCCATCCCGCCCAGCTGGGGAGCCAGCCCTGCTCAGTACTTCCTGGACCATTTTCTGGATAGGTAAACTGAGGCAGAGGACAGGAAAATGCACCGGGCTTGCCCTCTGTCTTGGGACCCAAATTTGGCCCGTTCCTCATCCCCCACCCTGGTCTCCCAACTTCACTGGATGCTCTCTGCAGAGGACCCCCAGCAGGTGAGGGGCGCCTGCACCTGAACCCTCTCCCTGTGAATACTGTCTTCAGGACTGGACGCTTTTGAAGAGCTGGCCCCTTGGGGCCCCTGCTGGGGACACCTCCGCCCCCTCCGAGCAGCTTTAACAAGGTCAAGGGACGTGGGGCAGTCCCGAGGGCGAGGCCTGCCACCCACGCACCATCACCCCTACTCCGTGTGGCCCGCGGGTGACAAGGCTCCCGAGGCCTCAAAATACTGAACGAGCGAGGCCCGTGGCTCGGATCCGGGCGCTGCATGGAGGTGCTCGCACACACACGGATGTGTCGGACACAACGCACGCGTGGCCAAGCACACAACACTGTCCTCACTCGCGGCCTCCTCCCCCTACCTTTGATCCAAGAGCCTCAAACTCCCTCCCAGCCACCGATGCCACGGGCCAGGCCGCAGGCCTCTCCCTCTGTCCCGGGGCCACTCCTGGTGCCATCGGCCCCAAGGACAGCAGGCTGCTCGGCCAACAGCTCCCCCGCCTGGGCCTCGCCTTCTCAACAGAGCAGGTTTCATACAGGAGGCCGTGGACGTCAAAGCTGAAGGCCACGGCCCACCCCGTGGCTTCCTCCCAGGGTCTAAGGAAAGGATACGAGAGACAGTGAAGCTTGCCCTGGTGTTGCCTCCAATTTGAAAATGAAGGGGAGAATAGCTGGGAGGAGCTCTGAGACAGGAAAAGGTATACAGGGCTCAACTCCCCTCAGGAGCACCCGGCCTCTCGCCCCAAGCCCGCCCTCAGCTGGGCTGACCGCCCCCGCGGCCCCCTTGGTTGGCTCGGCACCTGGCAGCCCCTTTGAAGGGAAGTTACTGCCCCCTCCAGGCTGAGCCCTTCCGCCAGTACAGCATCTGGGAAAACCTGAAAAGCCAAAACTTGTGTCTTTGGGGGTGGGGTGGGGTGGGGGGGAGACTCCATTATCCCCCCCCCTCAAGCTCTGCTCACCAGGCCAGACGCCTGCTCTATTTCCCAGCGGCTGTGACCGGCTGCCCCCACTTACGGGGGACACAGATCTACGGGGCGGTTCCGCCTACCCCCCACTCAGGTTTCACTCAGGAAGTGGCATCAAAAACTCCTGGGTCACAGAGCACAGGAGTGCTCTGCTGACGCCTGGGAAATCCTCAAGGCCCCTCTTAGCCCTGGCTGGGAAGGGCCCAAGTTGTCCGCACGTGCAGATCCAGAGGCCCAGAAGCGTGGCCCAGGGACTCCTAATGGTGAGCCTGAGAAATGCGGCCAGGAGGGGCCGGTCGGGGGGTGGGGTGGGGGGGTTCATCTTTGACTATCAGGTGACTTCGTGCCCTTGGCTTGGGACGGGGGCCTCACCCTACCCATCAAACCAGAACCTTCTCTCCTGACCTCCAGGCCCATCCTCTGTCACCTCACAGGGGACAAGCCTCGCCAGACCACGAATCTTCTTCTGGACACCGCACTGGTCACCAAGGCCATGCTGCCTGATGGGGGAGGCACGGCAGGCGGCTCTGGGTCCCACCAGGGGCCCGTGGCCTGCAGTTGGTGGAAGGGGGAGAACGCTGGTGCGTGGGAGACTCTGGACCCCCTGGATCCCGGGGTTGGGAAGTCCGCACACCTCTCTAGCTTGGATGTGTGCCCTGGGCTTTGGAGACCCCCCATGGAGGAAGGAGGCGCAGCGCTGGCCCCGCCCACCTCTGCTCCGCCGAGACGGGGTGCTGAGAGGTGAGTCGGGGTGCTGAGGGAGAAAGCTGTTTCTCAGGAACCAGAGGAACCCACCCTGAGGGTTGAGCCACGGAGACAGGGGTGGTCACGCTGCTCTGTAGCGCGCAGGGATGGGGCAGGCGAGGGGCAGGGGTGGCCTTTAGCTGGCGTGGGCTTTTCTTACCAGGGAGTGACACAGAGGCAAATCCACACACACCCAGAGCCCAGGCGGCAGGCCTGGGGCCACCACTCACCCCTCCCCTCGGCAGCCTTGCTCGGGAGCCCCATCTCCCTGCCCCCGCCATGGGCCCGGCCAGCCAGAGCCAAGAGAGCCTCGGCCCCGTGGGTCTGGAGACCCCCCAACCCAGCAAACCGGGGGGGGACATTCCTCCCCCCAAACTGCCGTGGAAACCAAGTCCCTGCGACTACGCTCCTCACGGGCACGCAGACAGCGAGAGGGGAGCGGGGAGGGGAAGCTCCAGGTGGCCGCTCGGGCCCAGGCCTCGCCCAGCCCCTGCTGGACACAAGGTCAAGGGCACTGGTCCTTTTTCTGGCTAGACAGGGCCAGTATCCAGGAGGAGGCCTGGGAAAAGAACCTGTGGTTTCTAAGCTTGCGGGTGAAAAAGACGCAGAACAACCATGTAGGGGTGCGGGGGGGACCCCGGGTGGAGAGCTGGAGCGGGACCACCTCCCTGCCCAGGTGTTCGGGCTCAGGGCAACGGGAAGAGGGCCTTTCTGCTGTGGAGTCAGAAGAAATGCCATCACTCCTGCCTCCGTACCACCATCCCCCGGACCAAACAAGGGTGTCCAGGGGCCTTGGCCATGGAAATGGGGCTGAATCCAGCTTTCCGGGGGCTCCGCTCTTGGGCTGCTGGTTTTGTTTCTCTCTCAAGTCACGGCTTCTCTGATAAGGTATTGCCTATATACTTGATTTAAAAATATACGGTGGCTCAAAACGTGCCTGTGTGCAGAGCAGACACGGCGGGCGGAGGCCCTCACGCCCACACACGCGCACACACAGTGGGGTCCGCGTCCACGTACTGTGCACACACGCGTGTGCGTGCTCACATGGCATGTATTAACATATATATTGCTCAAGTATATATGCTATTTACAGTATATATCTATATCAACATAAAACACAGGTATTTATAGGTGTGTACAATAGATACGTTCTCGGGGGGGGGTCTGGGTAGCACACGTTTCTGGGGTCACGGCGCCGACACACTTGCTCGGCAGGGAGGGAAGGCGGAGAGGTGACACCATCAGGGGACCTGACAGGAGGGAGTCTGGAGAGGCGCGCCACGGAAAATCAAGGCCTTCCAAGGAGAGAGAAAGGGGACTCAGGGCTTCGGGTCCCTCCCTGCCCGCTCATGCGCCCCCGTTTTGGAGCCGGCAAACAGTGGACACGTTTTGGTTGTTTTGGAGCTTTGTGCAAAATGAATTAACTTAAAAAAAAAAAAAGAAGTGGGTTCCTAATCAGTGCTTGGGCCCTGAGCATCTTCAAGGATCCAGACCCACGGCTCTTCCGTGGTGGGCTGCCCGGGCTCAGGGGGTCCCACAACGCTGGGAGAAGGTGGGGAGTGGGGCCCACACAAGCCCTTGGCCTAAGGGAACGTCCTCTCTCCTCTGAGCTTCTCAGGAACGGCGCCGAAGTCAGCCATGCTGCCCGAGAAGGAGCATCAGGGAGGGCGGGAGCCTCAGTGGACCCTCTGGTCCAGCTCGCTTAGGAAGCACCCCCGGTGGGAGGGGAGGCACGGGGGGCTCACTCCATTCTCCCTGGCCAGCCTCCAGGGGTACAAGGCCACCTCAGCTGGCCTGCCACCTGACTGCCCACCACCCTGTGGCCTTTGGGTCCCCTCTGATGCTCAGACAGGACCACGGCTCCCTGGGCACCTGTCAGTGGGGCTGCATGCGCAGCTCCGTGTGGGGTGCCCCGGCGGGGACCCTGATCTTGCAACAGACCTCTGCGGCCAGCTTCCTGCTCCAAAGAGAGGGCCAACGCTCCTGGGACACCTCCCGATTCTCATGCCTGTCCCTGGAGCCACAGGGCACCAGCCGAGTGACGCTGAGCCTCTGGGCCCACCGAAAGAACTCAGCAGGCCCCGTCCCCTGAAAACTGCAGCCTGGGCGCAAATATATTAAATAAGAAACTAAAACGTACGGTACAGTTTCTCTATTAAGGCTCAGATAAGCTGCCCCCCAGGTCAAGTACTCATGAGTGCCACAGTCCCCCAGCTGAGGGGCAGGCAGGCAGGTGAGTTGGGGGCCAGAGGCCTTCCACATCCCCCAAAAGTGGGGCAGGGGAGGGGAGCAGGATAACGGGGGAACCCTGTGCTGGTCTAGTCAACTGCTGGGGAGTGGGGGTGACCCAAGAAACCCCAGGTCCAGATTGCTGGGGATGCCCCTGCTTGGGGAATACCAAGGCTCTGCCTTGCCCAAGTAGGGTCCGGAGAAAGCAACAGGGGACAGGCGCTCGTGCCCCAGGCTGGTGGGTCTCCTGGGAACCGCCCCCAGGCGTGAGTGCTTACGGTGGGGAGGGTCTGGACAGGGCCTCCTTGGCAGTCTTGCTGGGAGTCGGGGCAGAAGCCCTCTGGACGGCAGGCGGAATTCTGGGTGGCGCGGGTCCTCCCCAGCTCGGGGGCCCCACCCAGGCTTGTCAGAGCTGCCCCAGCCCGTGACCCAAGGGCCGCCCACTGGCCTCCACTCTGCGGGAACCAGCCCGGAGCTGATGGATCCAGAGACCAGCGACCGCAACATCCAGCCCCAGGTCCTCACGGGGGCCTCCCCTGGCTCCGTGAACTCAGCCCCACTCGGCCAGCTCCCTCCCCAAGATGACGTGAGGATCAGAACCCCATTGTCTCGTAGGAGGCCCCTGCTTCCTTCAGCATCTGCCCCCAGCTGTAGGCAAGGCCAGGTGGGAAGGTGGGTGGGCTTGTGAACTCCCTGGGCCTCGGACACCGTTTTCTGGAGTAGGAGTGGGGGGAGGAGGAGGTTAGGGGTTCTCTGGAGGGTCTGGGGGCTCCAGGAAGGCAGGAGGGCACGGGGAGGTCTTGGCTTGGGCCCCGGGCCTGGCAGGGAAAGCAATCGGGGGTGTCTCCCAGAGGCCCCTTCTTGGGGGACCCTGGGGCCGATTTTCCAGTCTGTGAGAAATACTGCGAGAAGAATCTTCAGGGTAGGGGCTGGGCCCAGGCCTGGGGGGGCAGACAGGGAGGAGCAGAAGAGGCCCTCCTAATGCTTCTCTGCTTGGCTGACTTTCAGGGCGCTGATGACGGCACTGATGTTCTCCTCGGGCACCTGCGAGGGGGCAGGGGGAGGCAAGAACCCGTGAGCCCCGAACTGGCAGCCCTTGCCCCGGGGGCCTTGCTGGACACTCACCAGCGCGTGGTCGAACTTGAAGGTACTGATGTAGTAGGCGGGGATGTCCGCAGCAGCTAGGGGCTCGGAGATCTGGGCCACGATGCCACACTCATCTGGGGACACAGGCGGGGGGACCACGCTCAGCATCCTCGGCCAGCCTCCCCCCTGCCCCTGCTGCCGGGGCCGGCCACGCCCCCATGATTTCCCAGCGCTCCCGCCCCCCGCCCTGAAGGCTTAGCGCAGAGGCCCCTCCACCCAGGAGCCTTCTCTGACCCTCCCTGGCCGGAACGAGCTTTTGCCCCAGGGTTCCGCGGAGCCCAGCTCTGTCCAGCTTTGGTCACCCTCTGCCTGCTCCCGACTCTCGCGAGTTCTCTGAGACAGAGCCGGACGCAATGTGGCCAACGGGAGGATGTGGGTTCAAGGCCCTCTTTCCTGTCGCCCTCTGACTCTCTTCTAGCCAGAAGGCTGTGGTCAAGTCACTTCCGCTCTGTGAGCATCGGGTTCCTCCTCAGAGTCCCCACCGGGTAATGATCTGTGGAGGCCAGCGGGGTGGTCCTAAAACTAGTGCCAGGCATCTGCCTGGGGCCGGAATGGGCTTCTTTCTCCCTCTCGACCTCCAAAGCAGGGGTGCATCCTCTCCTCAACCCCGGCTCCCTGCCTGATTTGAAGGCACCCCACAAGGCTTCCTCCTCCAGGAAGACCTCCAGGGTCCGAGGACCGCTCTGTGTGACCAACACAACCCCTTCCAAGGTTTCAGGTTGTTTCCCCCCAAGCCACTATTCCGATTTTGACGACGATGCCTTTTCCCAACGCTGTTCCCGACCGGGTGGGAGAGTCCAGATCGGGTCGTCAGCTCCCCTCGCGCTTCTGAGGCTGGAGCCTGGGAACCGGCCCGGGCTCCACCCCTCCAACACCCCATCGTCACCCCCTCCAGCCTCCCTTCTGCTCCTTCACTCCCTGGCCCCAGTCCTGCCGCCGTCAGCCCAGCCCTGGACCTGTGTGGTGACTCTGTGGGCTTCTCAAGCTCCTGCTCTCCGCTTGGTCTGCCGAGCCCTTTGGGTGGCTGGGCAGGCCCAGGGTCTGTACATCTGGTGCCCGTCTGTCTGCGCCAGCAGGTGGTGGAGACTCGTCTCCTAAGATCCTTTCACTACAGACGCAACTATTCCCATAAAAACGGGGTTAGGAGATTGGAGTCGAGAACGATGCCTTTCTGACTTCGGGTTGGGACCCACCTGTCACGTCAGTTCAGAAGGCTGGTGACGCGCACTTTATAAAGCGACGGGATGGCTAAGGGGGGAGCCCAGATGGCACACACAGCACAGAGCTGGACCGAGGACGGTTCTGGAGCTGTTCGCACGTAGGCGCGCTGGGTTCGGAGGGAAGCCGCGTTTACTCCAAACCACGCTCACAAACACACGGAATGTGCTGGTCTGGGATCCGGCAGATCCTCGGCAAGCTCTCTTCCTTGCGGGCCTATTTACAGCCGTCAGGGTGGCCCTAGAGCCCACGCCGTCCTGCGCAGGCAGCTCCCAGCTGTTGGCTGGGAGGCGAGCGCGGCCGCGGCGCACACCCTTCTGGCTGCCCGCGCGTGGGGCGTCCGACACACAGGCCCGACGGCTACACGTCTGGATTCCGTCCCCATCCCCTCTTTCCTCCTCCTTCATCGGGACCTTCTGTGGTTGCATGAGAGACGCTATTCTGACGGACGCAGTCTCCTGGTGGCGCCCCGCCGCCCGCCAGAGCTCTGCCACTCCCCTCCACCTCCAGACCCCTCGGTCCCGCATCAGGACTCTGCCCCTCTGCCTGGGGCGACCCGGCTAGGTTCTTCTACCCCTTCTACCTTTGGACCCTGCACCCTGGGCATGGCCACCTGGAGCCACGTGGGTGCCGCGGACAGGTGTTGCCAGGTCACGAGGCACCTTTTCTGGGGAGCCTTACCCTTCCCGACCCTTCCCTGAGCCACCCGGGCCTGACACGTGACAAGGACAGCTGAGCACCTGGTATGACAGACACGCCCTGCTCAGCACCCAGGCGAGGCATCTACCATCGTCCTTATCAGGATGGCATACTGGGGGACCGAGGCTCAGAGGGTAGACAACCTGCCTGTGCTCACGTCGTTTCTAACAGCCTCAGTGAGGAGTTGCTCTAGCGCTCAATCCCCACGACCCCGCACCGGGCAGCCAAAGTGGGCAGGAGAAACGCTGGGGTCTGTGGCAAAGGAGGCCCCCCCCCCCCCACCGTGAGAGGCAGGCTAGGCCCCAGGGTCGGACCAGGAACCTTCAGTGTACACTTCCTAGCACTCCACAGAGTGGCCCACTGTCCTGCCCCCAGGATGGCTCTGGCTTTGGCCTTCATGTGAGCAGAGCTGGGGGGACCCGTCTACCTGCAAGCTCATCCACAGGCAGGTGAGGCAGGAGGCAGAACCTGGCTCCCTCACCCACCCTTCGCCCCCGGGTCAAAATGCCCTGCCACCTCCATCTCCCGTCCTAGGAATTGAGCATCCAAGGGCTGACATGATGGCCCCTGGAGCAGTCTGGGCTTCATCAGGAATGTTCTTCATTCACTGTATCTGTGGGAAATCGGCGTTCACCAATCCCACCAGGGCTTCTGGAGGATGCTTCCCAGAGACGACCAAGGGCCTCTCCCGGGTTCCAGCTCTGGGGTCTAACAGGTCTAGCTTAAGGAAGTCATTTCTGATAGGCGCATCACTGACAATGGGCCGGCGGCCTCCACCCAGCCCTGGGCGAAATCGGTGCCACGCGGCCCTGCTAACTACCGAGGACTCCGAGCCCCGGGGCCCCTTGGAACACGCTTGTGGACAAAACTCGCTGCCAACGACGCTGTTTGGGCAGCTGTGGAAACCGAGACTAGAGACTCTTAGGGAATCTCTGCGGATGTCCTCCTTACGATCAGGTCATCGCTACGGAGGAGAAGCTGCTCCCTCCCGGGACAGAAATGGGGAGGTATTTTGGGGTGAGTGCTGGGGTGCCGGAGTCTGACGGCAATTGCATTTATTTATGTGAACGGCACTCATCGGAACAATATCCATTGCCTGTGAGCAGCTGGGACTAAACGTGATTTTTTTTCCTTTTCAAGAAGACTCTACGCCCAGCATGGAGCCCAACGGCAGGGCCCGAGCTCACAATCCTGAGATCATGACCTGCGCTGAGATCAAGAAGAGTCGGCCGCTTGGCCGACTGAGCCAGCCAGGCGCCCCTTCCTTTTCAACTTGTATTGCGCCCCCCAATGGGGTAATAAGCAACAGGAATGCAATCTCTAGTGCGGGAGAAATAAGAGCACTTTGGTTGAAGGCCCGCACCTCCTGTCACTCGCTGGTCAAGGGCCCATGGTGGTGGGGAAGTCAGCTCCCTAAGCCTCAGCCTTCCTGTCTGTACCGCAGGGTGAGTGAGCCCTGACGGACGGCACTCGGCAATGCTAGGCCCCCGCCCGCTGGTGTGGTCCCCGCCCTCCCCCCCTCCCTGGGGCTCACCAAATCCCAGGGGCTGTCCTCCGATCCGCACCATCTTCCAGAGCTCTCCAGATGCGCTGGTGAACAACAAATTACTAGGGAACCTTAACAAGGAGAGAGAGACAAACCCCAGAGGCTGACGTTGGTCGTGGTCCCTTGGTTGGAGCTGTGGCTGCCGTCGGGGCCCCCTCCTGAGCCCCCCTCATGTAGGGGGGAATGGGAAGGCAGGGCTGGGAGTGGGCTTTGGAACACCTTCCCCCCCACCCAGCTCCAGAGAGGGGGCTGAGGGACCAACAGCGCCCCGACGGCCCCAGGCCTTTGTCTGAGCTGCACGTCGTCCGTAAGTTGGGCCACTCACCTCTGCTGGGTCTGCACGTCCATCACCAGGGAGATGTAGCCCTCAATGAGGGAGAAGGAGAAGAAGCGGATATGGCCACAGTCCTCCCCGGCAGCCATGGGGTCTTTCACTCTGGGGGCCAGGGGGTGGGGTGGTGAGGGATGCAGTGGACCCCCCGCCACACCCAGACCCCCACCTGGCCTGCCTGCCGGCCCACCAGCCTGGGAAAGCTGGGGCCAAGCCCTGGCCCTGATCCTGCCCTGCTGGGTGACCCTGAACCTCTGCTCCCACCCTCGGTCTCCCCATCTGAGATGCGGACGAGTCCACGGCGTTCACAGAGGTGAGCACCACACTTCACGGAGCCAGAGACCCAGCCGGCTCTCGGTGCAGACCACCCCCGCCCCTTGCTGGACAGGGTTTCTCTGTCCCTGCGCCGACCCACAGCTTGGGGCACAGTGTGTGGTCACTGCCAGCTCACTGGCCCCTGGTCCCACCCCGCTAAAATCTGCTCCGAGGTAAAATGCAAAGCCTCTTGTCTGCCGAATGAAAACCCCCGAGCTCCTGGCTCCCCTGCTGACCCGGCTTGCCCTTGGAGCTCAGGGCACAGTGAGTGGGGTGCTCATTTCATGGACATATGGCCCTGGGGCTTCACCAAGTTTTGGGATTCTCAGAGCACAGCTTTTGGGTAGAGCCATGATCCACCCCCTCCCAGACTAGCTTCCAGGGCAGGTGGTGGCTTTTGTGTCTCCCCACTCAGACTGGGGCTCCCAGGCAGAGTCGTGTCCCCTTGGCCCACCCCGCAGCCTCTCACGTCCAAGGGGGCCGTACCCGTTGGAGTAGAACATGACGTCCATGAGAAGTGTGGCGACCGCAGGAAGCGTGTCAGGGTCCAGGCTGGTGACACAGAACCTGTTGCTTGGGCTGGACAGAGGGTGGATGACAGGCCTCTGGACTGCGAGAGCAAAGACAAGTGGGCGCTGAGGCCGGGAGGAGGAGAGGCGTGGGGCAGGAGGAGGGCCCGATGAGGGGTGGGGTCAGCAGGCAGCTGCTTTGGGGGACCTGCCCCTGTACCTTCTGCAGCCTCCAGTACTACCCACGACTCTCCTGATTCTCCAGGCTCACTTCCAGACCCCCGGGCCTTTGCACATGCCCTGCTGTCTGCCTGGAATGAAAGACCTTTCCAACCTCTACCACCAGGCTGAGCTCCTACTTAAGACTCCAAGCTTCAGGTAGAGAGTCGTTGCCTCTGGGAGGCCCGTCCTGATACCCTGGATGGGTGAGGAGCGGCCTCTGGCCATCACTGGCTGTGTCCACGCCCCCTGCCCTTGCTAGACCTCGAGAGCAGGGTCTGACCAGGACTGTCGCACTGTGTTATGCCTGGTGCTTAATGAATGCTCTGAGAATGGGGTTGCTCTGGGGTAGGTCCTGGCGACTTCTCGAGGTCTGCCCTGCATAGAGCCCCCTCAACTCACCCATCTTGGGCTTCACGAAGCCATTGGTGATGCCGAGGTTCTCAGCTGCTACCGTCTCGCCATTGACGACCCGCAGGATGGTGAACTCTGATGACAAGGTGTGAGTGACAAAGGGCAGGTCCCGTTCGCGCACCTGGGGATGGGGAGTCAAGGATGTGAGTGTCCGTGGTCCGCGACCACGGGCACCGACCCCTTTGATTCTGAGATTTTGCGCCCAGAACCAGCTTCCCCCATCCCTCCCGCCACGCTGGTGGGGGATGGGAGCCTGGAACCCCTGCGGGCCCTGTGACCAGACACTCTTGCCACCCCTCCCCGCATGTGCTCCCAGCCCTCACATCCTGGCCTCCAGGTCGAACCCAGCACGGTCTGCAACAAATAGGCGGTGCGTGGGGCTGCATGGAGCCCCACGGTCCCACCGAGGCCATGCTGACACTTGACCCATGACCCCAAGGTACCCTTGACCTCTCTCTGAGCGGGGCCCCGGCTCACCAGGATGAAGTCCGTCTGGTAGGTGGAGAGCATGAACACGGAGATGTTCTGGTCGGCCAGTGGGGCGATGACCGACTTGGCTATCTTGGTCACGCCGATGGGCTGCGAGCTGGAGAAGCTGCCCCCGCCTGACACCACGTTCAGGGCCAGCCAGGTGGCATCCGCCACGCTCAGGTGCTCCGAGGAGGGCAGCTCTGCAGGGGGAGGGAAGGGGATGACACATGGAAGGCGGGCCTGTGACTGATGGGTCCTCCGGGCAGGGGACAGGGCGGGTTGCAGAGATGGGGACAGAGGTGCAGGCCAGCTGTGGGACCCTGGCCAGTCCCTGCCCTCCGGGCCTCGGTGCCCTTATCTGTCAGAGGAGGATGGAATCAGAGGTCCCACCCTGGGAGGACCGAGCAGGGAAGGCCCTCAGAGGACCTCAGACGTGCCTGACCACTTGGCAGGGCAGGAGCCTGGGCGACAAGTGGCTTATCTGTATTGGGCTTCTACGGTCTCACCCATGAAACAATGGGTGTTCAGCAGCGAGTAATGATTTTATTTCCAGTTCCCACCACCCTTCTGGCTGTCAGGGGCTGCCCTCAAATGGGTGGAACAGGCCCCCTGGTTATTTTATTAAGATTTACTTATTTCTTCGAGAGAGAGTGAACGAGCGTGTGTATGGGGGTGGGGGGCAGAGGGAGAGAGAATCTCAAGCAGACTCCTTGCTGAGTGCAGAGCCCGACGTGGGGCTCGATCTCATGGCCCTGAGATCATGACCTGAGCCAAAACCAAGAAGCAGACGCCTAACCGACTGAGCCACCCAGGCACCCCCCTTCCCCCTGGTTTTCATACCAGTTCCTGGGAACCTCTCAGGAGGGCTGGGGGGTGGAGGGGAAGCCAGGAGACAGGGTGGGGAGCCCGGGATTTCTCTCCCTGCTTCTGTCAGACCTGCACTCTGGAAGAACACGCGGCTCCAGGAGGGCTCCACAGGGTGCCACCTTTTGGCAACAGTGACTGTCACCCAAGTCCCTCCTCCAGAGAGCCCAGGGATCCTGGGGTTGGCGCTGGCGGGGGCAGGGTGGAGGAGGGTCAGAGTGGCAGCAATCACCAGGTCTCCTTGACTAGCTCAGAAAGAGCTGGAATCCGCCTGCTCACCTGCTCTACCTGGTCCTGCAGAGAGAGCACGCGGGGAGCTTGCCTGCGGGGCCGCAGGACATGGGCACATGCACGTGCATGCATCTCCACCCACACAGGCTGCGCATGGGACTCGCTTTGCATCACAGGTGCCTGCTCACACACACCCTGTGTCAGGACCGTCATTCCCACCACATGCGGGACAAACCAGCGTGCCGAGGGGGCCGGGGATCTGCTGGAGATCCCTCAGGGAAACAAGAACCAGGACTCAAACCCCGGTCTGACCAGGTCCCCAGGTAGGGCGGGGGCCAGGAAGAGGGGCCCAGACACTGGCGAATCAGGGAGACTGTGATGATGATAGTGTCACCCCGGGGAAGGCAACGTGGCTTCCGAGGAGGGGAAACTGAGGGAGGCCCCACCTGGGCTCCCACCTGCCTAGCTCCAGTCGCCCCATGGTAACCACAGCCTGGCTGCCCACTGGTCCTGCTGCCTCAGAAGGGACCATCCCAGCCAGACTGGCTAGACGGGCAGGCGGCTTCCCAGAAAAGGGGAGAGGTTTGGGAGGAAGAGCAGGAGGAAAGGCGTTTAAGAGGCCCTGGGCCTCGGGCTTCTGCATCTAATCTCACTGTCACTGGGTGTCGGAAGAAAAATAGTCTGACCACCAGAGAAAACCTCCTCCCCAGAACCAGGAGCTCAATTCTGAAATTCTAAGGGGCCTGGACCCAGGGGCAGCGTTGTGAGCCCCCCAACCTTGCCACCTTCTGCAGAGACAGCCCCAGGAACTCAATTCTGAAATTCTAAGGGGCCTGGACCCGGGGGCAGCGTTGTGAACCCCC